GCTCACTGTTCATCCCAGAGGCAGCATCGATCGGGTTCAGTTAGCAGCAGTAGCGAAGGAATCGCTCTATCGGGTTCAGTTAACAGCCATCGATCGATCGCTCGGGTTCAGTAACGCGTAGCCTGCAGTGCAATCGCTCGGGTTCAGTTAGAGCCCAACGCCTCGCTCGGCTTCAGTTAGAGCCAACGCCTCGCACACACGCGCGTACGTACGAGAGAAACGCACATCACTCCATCCCTGACCTCCCATCGTAACCGGCAACTCCCCGAAATTTTCCTCGCCCTCGCTTCTACCATGGTTTTTTCCTCATGGACGGCCCAAAGAATGTCATGCAGCTGCGTCTCCGGCCCGCCCAGGATGAAAAACCTATTTTCTATCATGATTTTTTGTCATAGAAGTAGGAGCCCACCACATCTATAATGATACCGGGTTTTGTCACAATTATCGTCATAGAAGTTTCATATGTATAACAAAAAAAAAATTCGTTCGGCCCAAAATGTCACAGATGTGTCTTTTTTTTGTAGTGAGAAAAAGATGTTCGCTCGCGACGACCTGAACTAGGAAAGACCACATGTGAGAACCCGAAAATTATTTCTAGACCCTACTGTGTATATTTGTCAATCCAGGATCAACTTGTAGTACATTACAACAAGTATAAGTTTAACAACTCTTGCCACAAGGCATACATAGTGAAATGTCTTATGACATTTATTACAATAAAAAACGCATCAGAATATATAAATACATAGAGACTCCATTTCAATCACAGTCAGTTGATGCAGTCCGCGTGACCTCGCTCCTTAGGGTTATCATAATAGTCGTAGTCGATGCCATCATCCTCATAGATCTTTGTTGTTCAACAAAAGTATTGCCACAAGTACATTACGTACTCAACATGCCTCCCATAGGGAAGGACCTAATAGCTACACGTGGCTTCAAAGGAAGGTTGTACGGTTCATTTGCATAAACGCTAATTTTGTTTGACAGTAAAGCAGTTGCATAAAAGCAATTTTAGATGAAAACATTTTTTTATCTCCAGAATAACTTTCATCAAAGTGAGGATCCTCGATCAATTCACGTCCTTCATGGGTTTCAAGAATAGGGGCAAAGAGGGAATAAGCAAGACATCTCATGTGCACCTAAGAAAGATTCATGTGTCGTCCATGACCATGTACATGACTATTCGAATAGTTTTACACTCTACAAAGGTCGTACACTTTACCCACACGACACAATCCCGTCTTGATGTCACTAGTGGCCGTTGGTATCATACACCATTCGGTGTACCAACAGGGAGATTGTGACAAGGTCTTTCGACTAAATCCCCCAAAGATGTGACATGCCCATCGGGTCTGGCGCACGGAACTGAGAGTATGTCCTCAAACCGGTCCCCCATCTGTGCCGATGATACTCCCCGCAAGGCGGCTACCCCATCTGCAATACGGCAACATCGACACCTAAGGTTGACTAGCTTACTTGACCAAGCCAGCTGGGAGAAGACAAAAGGCGCCCGTTTGGGCCAGCCCATGTCCGAACGACCTGCTTTTTAAATTTTGTTTGTTATTTTCCGTTTTTCCTTTTCCAATTTGTTTTTTCTACTTTAAATAATTTGAGACTTCAAAAAAGTTCCATTTTTTAAAAAAATTGATAATTTTGAAAAATAATGTTTAATAATTCATAAATGTTTATGGATTCATAAAATGTTCGTGATTTTAAAAAAATGTTCACATATTCAAAATCTGTTTGCAATTTTGAAAACAAATGTTCGGGAAATAAAAAATGTACATGTTTTTATTAACAAAGTTCGTGTATTAAAAACTTTTAATGAAGTTGAACAAATTTCACCAATTCATCAAATGTCCATGAATTGGGAATATCCTAAAAATTCAAAAACTGTTCGTGACTTACAAAATAATTTATTGATTCAAAAATGTTCGCTCATTCAAACAATGATCATGCATTCAAAAATGTTCGTTAAATCAATAAAATGTTCGTGAATTTCAAAAATTGTTCCACCAATTTCCATAAAAATGTTCGCCGATCCAAGATTTAAAAGAAATGTTTGCAAATAGTATAAAATGTTCATGAATTCCATTTTTTCTTAATTTTGGAAAATGTTTGAATTTTTTAAAAGCGTTCACGAATTTGAAAAATGTTAACGATTCAGGTATGTGCACGAGTTTAAAAAATGTTCATGCTTTCAAAAATTATTCATGATTTCATGAAATTGAGAGTGATAGTGTATCTGGGTCATGCAGCAAAATATAGTCATGGCCATTGAAGATTATGATTTTTTTCTCCCAGTGCAACGTACGAGCCCTTTTGCTTGTAAGTTTAATTCATGTTAAAATTATGTATAACTTTGTGAAGTTTGGTGTTGGTTTGGACTTTATTAGTTGAAAGCCCGGCGCTGCTTGCTCCTTCGTTCTAAACAAAGATCACGTTACTAGTGCTGTTGTCGTCCGCGCCCGGTCAGTCTTTTTAGTTTGCGCGAATCTTATACAAACGGAAAAGGCTGAACAACAAAAACACCTTCGAGAAGTCCTTGGCCAAAGGAGTGAAGAAAACTAGATGCTGGAACTAAGACCCTTCCATGTGTTGGAATGCCCCTTTCAACTTTCAAGGTCTTCCCCATGACCCAAACCATGCATGCCGTAGTGAGAAAATGACCACTCGACCAGCAATAGCCAACATTAAGCTAGTAGTAAATTGATCTAGTCCCCTCACTGACCAATGACCCGTTCTTTCTCCGGTACCCGCCCTAGTCTGCTAACCAAGTACGTGCCCCGCTGCTTCCTACTACTTATGGTGCGGTGGTTCCCTCACTTATATAACTCGTCTCTAGTCGTACATGCCGTGACACAAAATCTTGCTCAACCTTGTAGCACGAAATCTCAGCGCAATTTCATGCACGTCCTTGCGCCGCACTCAGGCGGTCCTCCGTTTGCACAACTACTCGGCCACCTCGATCGTCGTGTAAGCAAAGACATCGCGGCCATCCACGGCGGTGACCTGCCAGGAGGGATGGATGACGTGCTGTCGCAGATCGGCGACGCCTTCCGGCTCGCCGGGGAGCTCATGGGCGACCTCCCCGCGGCCCAGAACGACCCGGCCTACCTCGCCGCGCGATGCTACGGCATTGTCCGCGCCTACAACACGGCCATCCGCATGCTGCAGCACTACGGCGTCGGCGCCGTGAACGTGGCCGCGGCTGGCGCGCTCGACGGCGGCGGGCCGCTGGACCTCCTGCGCCCGCGCAGCACGGAGGAAGCAGCCGGCGCCAGCCGGCTTCTCGGGGAAGCTCCGACGCATCTGCAGGAGCCATTCAACATGCTGGCAGGTGCGCGAGCGCCACCGCATGCGCATTCGGTGCGCGCGGCGGCGGACGTCGCGGGCACGTCCAGCGGCCCGGTGAGGAGGCTGGCGTCGTCCAGGTCTCCGCCGCCGGCCCAGCCACGGCAGGGCAGGAGGAGGTACGTGCGTGAGCCCGTACGTACCACGTACGGCACTGTCGGTCACTCGGTCGTCGTTAGATTTTGTGGGTCAACGGTTCAAACACGGGGACCTTTTACCACGTCATGGCTCGGAAACTTTCGTAGCCCCGCGCGCGCAGTGAATGTTCTCTGCGACAGCGACGTATAGCCAAGTCATGGGACGCTACGGGGAAGGCACACCACACACGAGGGTTTACACGGCGACCCGAAGCATGCACTTTTAATTATGTCGGGTATATGGGGAGATTAATATAAGACTCGGTGAGACTGGTCACAGTGGGAAGGAACTTAGGAGTAACATCACACACTCCAATACAACTTTGCTTATGTGCCACGTATTTAATGATAAGAGAGGTGTTTGTGGTAACTAGCTAAGTTATCAGAACATCACACACTTCAAAAAACAATGAGTCTATAACCTAATAAATACATCATTGCATGACACTACATAGATGTTTCTATTCACTATGGGGGTAGTAACATAGTCTAGGGAGGTGTGTAAGTTGCTAGCTTATGTTCTTGCCCATTATAACCAGCCTGAGGATCCATGACTTTATAATCAGTCGTGTTGGCGATTCTTTATGTGCTTTTTTTTTTGAAGGAACCAACGAGAGCCCTGCCTTTTCATATAGTGCAAGTAAGGAATTGTACAAGGGGTGAAAATTTTAGTAGGGAGCTCGCCGAAACCCTCGCTTAAAAAAAATCATGCGTCGGTCGAATTTGTGCACCTCCGATGCGGAGACAGCGCCCAAGGGGCAAGCATTGGTGAGAAGTGGGGATGTTAGTGAGGCCGAGCCAAGAGCGATCCGGAGCTGAGGGCGTACAACGTGTCAGCGGGCGTCGCCGGTAGTGGGGAGTCTGAAGTTGACAGATTCAGGTGGGGCTGGGGGAAGGGTCATCAGCGGCCGAATCATGTCGTGGTTAGAGGAAATGCTTGGGCAGCGGCTACACATTGGTGGGGGCGAGCACTGCATGTGGCGGGAGCAGGCGATTTTACCGACATCGGAGGGCGGGTAGGCATTGAATGAGGAAGAAGAAAACCGTGGTGTGAATTAATAATTTTTTAGACGGCTGCTCAATAGCCGACCCAATAAAAAAATGAGAATGAAATAATTAATCAACGAAAGACCTAATTAGCTAGTTTGTGCAAGAAATTGTAAATTTGTTTGAGTTTCCTAGAGTACTGATTAATACGTATTAATTAAATAATATTGTATGTTTTAGGAGGGACAGCGGGCAGAGGGAGACGATGTTGGTGCCGGCACACCGGATGGGTAACACCGAGCTTCCACCGGACGACGGCTACACGTGGCGCAAGTACGGCCAGAAGGACATCCTCGGCTCCAGGTTCCCAAGGTAATCAAATGGCTACTTATCAACTTCCGTCTATTGGGGGCCAATTGGCTGATTCACATTTCAAATCAGTTTGTTCCATAATTTTCCGCTTTCTCCACCCCAACGTTTACGCTTGGGAGAGCAGCAACAGTACATATCCACTGCCTGATTAGTCAGCAACCCCGTAGTTTCATAGAAGATAGGACATTTGCAAATTATGTGTGTGTTTGCAAATATTTTTGCATAGCATACATGACAATCTGAGTTTGTGATGATGAAACTGCGTGCATGATTGAACCAACAGGAGCTACTACCGGTGCACCCACAAGAACTACTACGGGTGCGACGCCAAGAAGAAGGTGCAGCGCCTGGACGACGACCCCTTCATGTACGAGGTCACGTACTGCGGCAGCCACAGCTGCCTCACCTCCACCACCCCGCTGCTCAACTTTCCCACCGCCACCGCTACCAACTCCCCGACAGCCGCAACAGGCTCCGGCCTCGCCCCTGCGGACCATTTCATGGCACCGACCGAGCAGGCGGCCGTGTCGACATCAATGCACCTCGGCGTCGGCTGGATGCCGGCAAGCTTCCAGGGCGTTGCGCCAGCGGGCTCCTGCGCCGGCGTGGGGAGCAGCGCCGGCATGCAGACGAGCGTGTCCACCCCAGCAAGGGACACGGATTACCCGGCGCTGGACCTCGCGGACGTCATGTTCAACTCCGGCGGTAGCGCCGGTGTGGGCATGGACGGCATCTTCTCTTCTCATCATAGAAGTGATAGCTAGAAGGACGGCCATATGCAAGGAAGGATCTGGATTATTCGTTCTCATAGTCGATTACGTACGTAGAGAAGTAGCATGATTTATGTCTGGTTGCTCGTCGTTAATTTGATTTACTTATACATAATTTTCTTTTTCTAATGATTTATTTATACATAGTTGTAGCCTCTGTTAGACTAATTAGCAATTTTTGATGAAATTCATTCACATATAAATTACTTTACTATGCTAGAAATGTTGATCTTATATGCGGAAGTGTTAGAAAGGAGAGAAGGGATTGATGGAATAATTTGTTGTATTACTTGAGCCTCATGGGCATAGTATATAGGAGTACAAAGACCAACTTGAAGTATAAGACAAAGCAGGACCACATCCTAGTCTATCATATACTTCCTAATAATCCTTATACTCAACATCCCCGCAGTCACAACGGTAGCGACGCAGACGGTGAGACTGGAGAATAATACGAAGGCAAGC